TGTATATACAAAGGCTATTGATTTTTGTGTGTTAATTTTATATCTTGCCACTTTACCAAACTCTTTTATGAGTTCCAATAATCTCTTAGTGGAATCTTTTGGTTCCCTTATATATAGATCATGTCATCTCATAAAACATGTATTTTATTTATTTGAAAGGCAGAGCTACAGAGAGGCAGAGGCAGAGAGAGAGAGAGAGAGAGAGAGAGAGAGAGATCTTCCATCTGCTGGTTCACTCCCCAGATGACCGCAATGGCTGCAGCTGTGTCAATCCAAAGCCAGGAGCCAGGAACTTCCTCCAGCTCTCCCAGGACTTGGGCTGTCTTCCACTGCTTTCCCAGCCCACAGCAGAGAGCTGGATTGGAAGTGGAGCAGCCGGGACTCAAATCAGCGTCCATGTGGGATGCCGGCACTGCAGGCAGCAGCTTTACCCACTACGCCAGAGCGCTGGCCTCTCAAATATTTTTTTAAAAAAGGATTTCATTGCTTCAAACTCAGTGGTCAAGATTTTTTACCCTCCATTCTCCTTGCTCAACCACCTAGCTTATGTGTATCTTTGCCCACTAAGAATGACATTCTGTGTAAGTAAAGTAAGTAACTGACTATGAGATATAATACAAGGGATACTGGGAAGTCCCACTCCCATTCAAAAATGCTTGCTTCTCAGTAATGGCTTCAATGTTACCATTAGAAAATCAAAGCTTTGAGTCAAGGTTTAGCTACTGGTCACAGAAAAATAATCCAACTATTACTGAAATCAACTATTCATTCAACAACTATATATATATATATATATTTACAGGCAGAGTGGACAGTGAGAGAGAGAGACAGAGAGAAAGGTCTTCCTTTGCCGTTGGTTCACCCTCCAATGGCCGCCATGGCCGGCGTGCTGCGGCTGGTGCACTGCGCTGATCCAAAGGCAGGAGCCAGGTGCTTATCATGGTCTCCCATGGGTGCAGGGCCCAACCACTTGGGCCATCCTCCACTGCACTCCCGGGCCACAGCAGAGAGCTGGCCTGGAAGAGGAGCAACCGGGACAGAATCTGGCGCCCCGACCGGGACTAGAACCCGGTATGCCGGCACTGCTAGGCAGAGGATTAGCCTATTGAGCCATGGCGACGGCTCAACAACTATATATTGATTACATATATATGCCAGACACCATGCTAGGTACAATTAATAAGCACTTTTTTTCTCCCACTCACGGAGTGCATGCTCATGAAGAGCTACATGAGAGAAAATCTTTCTCTAATGATTATTTAGTTATAATTCTAAGGATTACAAAAGGAAAAAGAAGGTATCTGATAGTATACAGCAGAGAAACTCCTGAAGTAGCAGCATTTAGATTCAAATTTAAAAGTAAGTGAAAAAAGAAAATTGCACAGCAGGTCTGGATAACTTAAAGTAGGCAGAGAAGGATGTTTAAAATTAAGGAAAAAAAAAAACAAAAACCTGATTAAAGACCCAGGTTGCTAAACTTTAGTAAGTAGAGGACAAAACCTCAAGATGAGTTCAAAAGGTGACCACAAGGTGTGTAAGCCATAGCAAAGATTTGGGGCCTTATACAAGAGGTCCACTTGACTCTGATAAATGATCAGTTTCCTATTTCAAGCTTGTTTCAGGCTACTCTATAGACAAAGGCAAAATTGAATATGTAAAAACTATTATCAGCTATCAGTGCACAAGTCTCTCAAATTCTTTTCAACTAATGTGACAAAAGAGTGTGACAGTTATAACCCTCAGACTGAGATCATTCATAAATCCAAATCCTCACTGAACTTTGCTTTCTCAATATATTGTTCCTCTCCTTTTTCACACCCTTTTTCTTAAAGTCTCCACCTGGCATGTCACCAGAATCCCTGCTTTAATCATCAGCAAGTTTATAATCTCTAACACACTGCATATTTACGCAAGATTGGAGTCCCGCCTTTGAATTCTAATCTAGCATGGGGCTTTGTTACTTGCCAAGAGGTTCACCCCATGATGCCTTCCCTATGAACCCTTCTTCTCACCATACTTATACAGTCTCTCTCTTGTACTTGATACTCCAGTTCATCTTTAACTTACTTAAGAACGTGATTAGGAGCCAGACCAGGTGATACTGCTCACCTTATTGGAGCACATTAGAAATATTGGGCCTTTGACTGTGAGTCTCCAACTCCTTATTTAACTGGCAAAATTTGCACTGGTATTGCTCCTGGAAAAGGAGAAAATCTTCTCTTCATTCCCCAAACCCTTTGATTTATTAAATCTTTTTTGCAAAACACATTTAGAGCAAAAGCTGAAAGTTGGCAATAATGAATCTCTAAAACAAAATCATCTGTCGCACAGTGATATTTAGCATGGATGAGTCATTTATTTTGTTATCTAAATTTTGAATTTTTAATACGTCCCCCAAGAATTCCTCTGGATCAAAACACACATAAACTGAAGAAAGAGAAGAAAATGGGGAACATTTTATAAACAATTCCATAATAAATTCCATAGTCTCTGCTTGACCCAGCTAAAGTGTATGACTAAGTGAATATGTTTTGCATATAATTTTTCTTGAAAGAAAAATCAGTTTCTCCCTGGCCCCAAGAAATAAATATGGAACAAACAGGTTTAAAATATCCATTTTAAGGGGTGACTAAATGTTAGTTTGCCTTGCAGGCCCTCCCACTGGGCATGCTCATGCAAGCTCTTGGGCTTTGTCCTATGCTCTTTTACCTCCTTGAAACAAGCTTCAATTCTTTCTTGCTATTTCCTGCTCAGCTGAAATAACATTCCTGGAAAGGGGCCTTCTATGACTTGTATCCAAGGTAAGTTCTTCTTTCCTTTCTTCTATTTTCCTATATTTCTTTTACTTTTTTATTGTTTCTCTGATATATTTTATTTCATATTTACTATATCTTACTGTACTCACTATTCTGTTCTCTTCAACCTTAAGATTCTGGGGGAGGAACGTCTGTCCTTGTTTGCTAATTTACATATCTACCCAATCACCTAGACTAGTGCCCGAAACATAGAATATGCTCAATACATATTAGATGAATGAATGAATAGATTCACAAGCAAAAGTATACTCCATATGAGAACACTATGATTCCATGATTGAACTGCCCCTGCCATTTATCACCATGGATTACAGGTACAATATTCTGTTTGAAGGCATATCTATTAACTGAATTAATATCAGATTCATACAATGCCACACATACTGTGGCATATGACACTTTTCAACAATAGATACAGGAGAGAGAAATGATCAGACAATAAATACCATGAATTATTTGCCTCTTTAAAAATTTTGCTTATAGTTAAACTTCCCCACAATTCTCCCCAACTCTCATATGAGCCCTTCAGACATTGGAAAAACAGGTCAGTTAATAAATTCCCAGCTCTGCAATTTCTAAAAGTTGTAGCTGGTGTGGCTACAATTCAAATCAATAATGTTGCATCAAAGTAAGTGCCTGGGAAATTATTGATATACTGTGAAATAAAGCTTCCCCATGGCTGACATAATCACTCCAGAATTGCAACAAGTACATACCATCTGCCAGGTATTGCGTTGTCTTCAACAAACGCTATTGAATATAATAATCAGAAAGATCATACAAGGTGGGGCTTTTGTGATGGCTCAACTGGTTAAAGTTGCTGCCTGCAGTGCCAGTATCCCAAATGGGCGCTGGTTCAAAATTACAGCTACTATGCTTCCTATCCAGCTTCCTGCCATAGGACTGGAAAAGCAGTGGAAGATGGCCCAAATCCCTGGGACCCTACACCATGCGGGAGACATGAAAGAAGCTCCTGGCTCCTAGCTTTGGCCTGGCCCAGTCCCAGCTATTATGGCCATTTGTGGAGTGAAACAGTGGGTAAACAATTTCTCTCTGTGTCTCTCCTCTCTCTGTAACTCTTTCAAATAAATAAATCTTTTTTAAAAAAACTCACAAGGTAGGAACAACTCTATTATTATAATTCATTCTGCCTATGAAAAAACTGAGGCTCAAATAATTTAAATATAATTGTCCATGCACTTAGGGAGTGATGAAGACAAAGTCCCAAATAAATATAATTCCTGTATACAAATTCCCTTAATATGGACTGTGTCCTTTACCCCAAAACACCAACATTTAGGAGAAATGCAAACTGATTTCAAAAACCAAAACAAGTTAATAAGAAACAAAATTAATCTTTCTATTCATAATGTTATAATTCTTCATTTGGGTTCTTTTCAACCAGCTGTTGCATGCTCCACTTTTGTGGTAAATAATATTTCTTTAAACAGAAGTGATGTCTCATTCTATTTACATCTAGAATTAATTAAGATTAGGAAGCATTCAGGAAAAAATCCAAGCAAATCACATTGAATGCATTTTGCAAAATAGATAGAGGACAATCACTGAATGATTTTTCCATGATTTTGGAAATAAATATACACAAAAAGGGCTGAATTATTATCATTAATAATAGATTTATAAGGAACTTGTAAAGTCAGAATATGCATAAATGGCCTATGAATTATGGAGTATTTTCTAGGAAAATAGATCAGCATATTAGTAAAAGGGAAAAGTTAACTTAGAAGATGCTGGAAATAATACTGACTAGCAGAAGGAAACATTATGATAATAAAGATAGAGAAAGAAGACCACTACCCAAACAAAATGAATTATAGTTACTCCTCTTCCTGGAGATCCTCGAGAAGAATGTGGGGCATGCATGTTTTGGGAGGGGTAAGCATGGACATATCCCAGGCTGACATGATGATCTGCTACTGGAAGCAAAGCCTGCGAAGAGGATGCTGATAAAGGTAACATTCGGTGAGCATCTGTGTGTGCCAGATTAAAAAGAAGAGACTTAAAAATAAATAAAAACACAGTTCTGATGGATCAAAGATTTTATCATTCTAATTAAGGAGAAAATACTACTTAAAATTGTTAGGAAATTTCTTTTTTTTCTTTTTCTTTTTCTTTTTTTTTTTTTTTTGACAGGCAGAGTGGACAGTGAGAGAGAGACAGAGAGAAAGGTCTTCCTTTTGCTGTAGGTTCACCCTCCAATGGCCGCCATGGCCAGCACGCTGCGGCCGGTGCACTGCGCTGATCCGATGGCAGGAGCCAGGTAGTTATCCTGGCCTCCCATGGGGTGCAGGGCCCAAGGACTTGGGCCATCCTCCACTGCACTCCCGGGCCACAGCAGAGAGCTGGCCTGGAAGAGGGGCAACTGGGACCAAATCCAGTGCCCCGACGGGGACTAGAACCTGGTGTGCCGGCGCCGCAAGGCGGAGGATTAGCCTAGTGAGCCGCGGCGCCGGCCTGGAAATTTCAATCAAAAAGAAATTTATGTGAATTTAATAGGTTTCAATTTCACTAAAGATCATGAGATGTTGGAAAAAAAAAGTATATATCTTTGCTCAGATATCAGGCACTACATAATCTATGAAGTAATTAAATTTGAGTAGTGGGCATAAAACACATTTATAATTGCGATAAATGATAAATGTATATGACTTATAGGGTCGCCTAAGTCAGTTAGATTTTGATCTATATCTTAAAAGAAGTATTCAAATTCAGGGCTGGCATTGTGGTGCAGTGGGTTAAAGCCCTTGCCTGAAGTGCCGGCATCTCATATGGGTGCTGGTTTGAGTCCTGACTGCTCCACTTCCAATCCCCCTCTCTGCCATGGCCTAGGAAAGCAGTAGTAGGTGGCTCAAGTGCTTGGGCCCCTGCACCCACATGGGAGACCTGGAAGAAGCTCTTGGCTCCTGGCTGTAGATTGGTACAGCTCCAGCCATTGTAGCCATCTGAAGAGTGAACCAGCGGATGAAAGATCTTTCTCTCTCTCTCTCTCTTTCTCTCTCTGTAACTCTGCCTTTCAAATAAATAAATAATTTTTTTTAAAAAGTACTCAAATTCAATGAATTTCTAGACTAAACTTATCATGAACAAAGCAGTACAGGTGGAGATGAATGGGATTTATTTAAGGTTAGAAGATTTGTCAGATTATACTTAAGAACATGTTCCAAGGAAAAGAGGGAAAAGAATTAGACCTATAAATTGACATGAGATCATGGCAAGCCTCAACACATTTTATGGAAATGAAATACAAGGTACTTGAACTCCAGCTGATCTTTGCAGTCTCTGCCACCCCACTTATCTCAACAAAATTCAGGTATGGTATGTGACTGTGCAGCCAGTCACAACTTAGTAGCTTCCTACCGACATTCATTCCTACATTCACCCTTTGTACTCGATAGCTTCATGCTCAATTGCTGTTTTACAACCTCAGCCAGGACTGGGACAGATACAAGGGCAGTTCCATACCCCTCATGTAGAGAAAACGAAAACAAAAGTTGCCCTGCAGGAAGTGCTCTTTCCTAATAACAGCATCCCTCTGCATGTTCCCAAGCCCTTCAGTGCAGAGCAGCAGTATCCTGGCCCTCAGCCCTTGCCTCCTAGGGAAAGGCACAGTCCCACTTTGTGTAGGGAGCCCAGACAGCTAACAGGAACAGTGAATTTTATTGGCCTACAGTGTAAGATGTAACCTGGTGAGAGCAGCTCACCCGTAAATCCAGCCCATGGCTGTCACAATCCCCTCAGAGAGTCTCTGTAAATAGAGTGTTCTCTCCAGGCAAGCAGTTTTCTTTCTCACATTTAGTGGGAGGTAGAAGATATAAGGCAGAATAATGTGGATGTGGAAAGCTGGACTCCAGTATAACTCGGCACCCTTCCTGCGAACACAGCAAGTCGCCTCTGTCAAATGTGCTAGGCTTCACGTCAGCGACAGTAAATATGTGGGAAAAGGTGCTTCTTGTAGCTACTCTGGACTGTCGTAGTAAAAGAGACTGAAAACTTGTGTGCTGGTAGACACTGAATTTGTCACTCTAAGTAGGCCAGTGCTTAATAGTGATATGAAAACAAGGTAAACACCTTACATTAAATCTCTTTTATGGTATGTTCATAGAAATGGGAGGAACACCAACATAATACTTAATACCAACATAATACTTAACTCCAGGAAAGAACATGAAGATAAAAATGCCATCCTTAGAGACACAGACTTTCATAGCTGCATGGAATGTTCAGGATCATTGACACCGACTCCTTTCCCAGGTGAAGAAATTGAAGCCTAGAAAAGTTCAGAGACTTCCCCAAGCTCACTCTACTTTCAGAGGCACAATTCAACTTTTGGATAATGTCCCAAATGTCTCCTTTTTTTCTAGTGATGCCATCTACTAGGAGCAGCTAAGATTTGCAATCCACAAAATGGTAGGACATCTGTCATCATGTTTGGTCTTTACTGCATCACTGTGATGGCAGCATTACTATCTCTGGCACAAATTAGAAACTTAAGACTTGTCTAAATCAGTCGTGGGAAAGGTTGGGTTCACCCCTATATCTTTTACCATCCAAGAAACTGAAACTGGGTGAGTTCCTGGTACCATGCTACTGGTCTTGCAGTTAGAACCCCACACAAATCTCTTCTCGTTCCACTCCCTCCCATTGCAACTTTCTAGGGGACAGTAGCTATTAAAAGGAGGTAATTGTTCATCAACCACTCCAGTCAGCACACAGATGTTGAGCACTTACTATATGCTAGGCAATGATCTATCTCACAGCGAAATAGCAGTAAGAACAATTGATAAGGGGCCGGCGCCATAGCTCACTGGGTTAATCCTCCGCCTGTGGCAACGGCATCCCATATGGGCACAGGGTTCTAGTCCTGGTTGCTCCTCTTCCAGTCCAGCTCTCTGCTGTGGCCCGGGAAGGCAGTGGAGGATGGCCCAAGTGCTTGAGCCCTTGCACCCACATGGGAGACCAGGAGGAAGCACTTGGCTCCTGGCTTTGGATCGGCGCAGTGCCAGCCATAGTGGCCATTTGGGGGTGGTGAACCAACAGAAGGAAGACCTTTGTCTCTGTCTCTCTCTCACTGTCTAAACTTTATCTGTCAAAAAAAAAAAAAAGCAACAGATAAAACCACTGCCTATATGGAGACACATAATAAACTAAAATAATAGAAGCACATGATAATAAGTATTATAAAAGAAAAATGTGAGCCAGCGCAGCTCACTTGGCTAATCCTCCGCCTGTGGCGCTGGCACCTCGGATGCTGGCTTCAAGATTGGCGCAGCGCCAATAGCAGCCATTTGGGGAGTGAACCAACGGAAGGAAGACCTTTTTCTCTGTTTCTCTCTCTCTCACTGTCTAACTCTGCCTGTCAAAAAAAGAAAAGAAAAATGTGGTGATGCCAGAGGGTGGAGAATATTGGGGAAGCAATGCCAGTTTCTCAGAGGTCCTGTCTCAACATAAGAAATCAGTCTGCACAGATTTTATGTGCAAAGATCTTTAAGCAGTAGTAACAATCCTGACCTCATGGATCCCTAGAGATCACAAATTATGTTCAATAGTTCTAAAATAAATAATAACCAGTAAAAGCATAAACTGAATATTTACTATAAGCAACCTCTAGAGACTTCTTTTTAAAACATTTTAAGAAAGATTATATCAACTCTGTGGAAGCTCTGTCTTAATCATAAAATCTGACTGACAGAATACATGTCATAAAAATGCAGACCCCAGTTATAACTCAATAAATGTAGTTTTCCTGATGAAAAATTAATCTTTCTAAAAATCAGGGACCAAACAGGAAACTGTATAAAGCAGCCATTGGTCAGGATAACATTGTAATTCACGATCCCTTCTAGAACAAAGCAAAGGACACCTGTTGGAGGCAGGCTTTCCCCTTTCTCCATCAGGGAAATCTACTCTAACAAACACCAAAGCACGTCTTACTGCAGCCAGCTTTCCTGGCCCCAGGAAAACCTACATATTCAGAAACACGTACAAATATTTTAACAGCTTCTAGAGCTGTTCTCACCGTTCTTTACCGTTTCCCCCAATGCTTCTTCAGGGAGCTAAAAAATCTCGTGCGGTGCTGGTTGCCCCCACCCTACAATAGCAGTAACTTTTGAAAGCTGCTCTTTCCATTCTCAAGAGCTTCTTCAGAGAAACACCACTTGTTATCACCTCGTGTTTTATGTGTTATATAACTTATGCTTAAAACATTCTGATGAAGCAAATACCACTATTTTCATTTTACAAATTAAAAAGTGAAGGCTTAAGGAGATTAAGCATCATGCCTGCAACTACACAAATAGTCTCTTTCTTGTCTACTGTTACATGGTGACCAACTAGTTCATCTACAAAGTGAATGGGTAAGATCTACACTTTTACAGTCTATCTGATTATCTTTCATACAATAGCAGAATATATGTACAGTCAGCCCTCCATATCCACATGTTCTGCTTCAATGGATTCAACCAACTTCAAGTGGAATATATTCTGAAAATTAAATTGTGTCCTGAATATGAACAGATCTCTGCCATTTTTCTTATCATTATTCCCTAAACAATAGTACAGTTATATAATAACAATATTTGTACAGTATTTATAGTATATAATAGTTGTACAATAGTATAGCAAGAAGCATAACAGCTACTTATGTAGCATTGCATTATAGTAGGTATTATAATCAATCTATGCATCATTTAAAGCACATAGGAAAATGTGTGTAGGTTTTATGCAAATATTGCACCATTTTACACAAGGAAAATGAGAATTGCAGATTTTGGTATCATGGTGGGTCCTAAACCAATTCCCTGAAGATAATGAGGGAAGCTGTGTAAGTTTTGCAAAGAATTTCATTGTTTGCAAATTTCTTGTAATTCAATAATGCAATGTTAAGGTAACAAAGGAAAGAAGATATGAGTTATCAACATATTCAAAAAAGATTTATGTTCTTATGTAGCTGTATTTTTTTAAGTTCAAGTTTTTAATAATTTAAACTTCATTAAAGCAGTGGAAGAAAAAAACAGGAATTTTTTTTCCTGATAATATTGTGTTTATCCTTCCAAGTAGCATAGAATTTCAGGCTGTGATGGGCATGTTTATAGCTAAATGATGAAAAATTAAAGATTGTATTTAAAATACACAACCGGTTGGGGCTAATTAGATGCTGGTCAACATGATCTTCCAGACACATGGTTTGATTTCTAGTATTGTCAAATTTTATTTCCCTACATATATTAATAGTTGTTAATAATAGTCCTGCTAACGTAATTTTAGACCTCATTTAACCCTCACAACAACTAGAAGATGAGAATTATGATCCTCATTTTACAAATGAGATAGCTGGATCTCAGAGAAGTAAAATAAATTCCCAAGTTATAAGGTCAACATTTGAATGCAGGTGGATCACTCCCTGAATCTTCTGCCCTTAAACACTCCAAGCCTTTTCATGTGTTTCCCTCCCATAACACAAGCCCAAGCTTTACAAAGAATATGTGTTTGTCTATCCCCAAGCAGTGCTGGAAATATCTGAGACTTTACCCAGATCAGTTACATTTTTTAGAGAAAAAATAATATTGAGCATTCCCCAAAAGGCATTCTCAGAAGAGATGAATCCTTAGACCTTCACTTTGACAACCCAAAAACATTTTAAGTGTTAAGTACATTCTGCCACTCATCAAAATGAAGATGAATCATGCCCTTATTTTCACATTAAAGTAAAAGATTCCTTTTTTGCATGATTTGTTCTAAAATTAATATGCCTATGATTCATAGGCTCTTGTAATATCACCTGTGGCCCATCTTTTTGTATCAGTGCATTAGGATAGAAATTGTTTCTTTGGGTTAAAACACATTCATCTGGAGGAATGTTATTATGGTATGCATAAATAGCACTTCGTTATTTTTTAAGATTTTCTCCATCTGTTCAAATCTACTTTATGTTTATTCTTCTGAAACAGGTGACATTACCTACCAGAATTCCTACTTTTAAGGGACTTACTCAGCCCCCTCCTGACCCTTTATTAAATGATCTGAATCTATTTTACTTCTTTAACAAGTTTTCCCTGACTGTTGTTCTAGTCATGCAAAAAATCATAAGCCAAGATTTTTAAAACTACCGCACATGGGGAGGCTGGCAGTCTTTCACATCATGTTCATTCTCTGCAGCACAAATTGTCACCACAATAAACAGCCTAAAACAAAAGCGAAATGCTACAAAAGGAGTATTTTTCCTCCTGAAAAAAAATCCCAGCACTGGGGAACACACTTTCCTCTGGATACACATGCATAATTTCCATTATTGTTAATGGGAGCTATACATGCATAACACCCATTACTGCTAATGGGAGCTAAGTGCATACACAAGGGTAGAATACAGTGAAATCTGTCTTAGAAAATCACCCAAGAGACTAGCAAAAATCAGTTTCCTGGTAGAGAATGGTTTTAAATTAAAAGCAGAACAGAACTGAACTTGAAACCACAGGGGAACTATTTAAACTTCAGGGAGCAGTGGGAATTAGCTTCTTTCTTGCTTGCTCTATTCCAATATATTGTTTTCCTCATCTATGTTCTTGATGAGAGCCAATGACCTTGTTATCTCCTAAAGAGAGATATCTGGAAATGAATTTCACACCTTCACTGATTCAAATGGTAGTCTTGGGGATCCTTTGGTGGGGAAAGGAATAAAGCTACTGGATGACTACATCATAGCACATGCAAAACACAAGTCATGTGGTACTTTCAATGACAGTTAATGAACCAGGATGGAAACAGTAACACATATTATTGTGGCAATTCATATCTAACATTCATTAATACCCAAAGACATCTGTTCTATTATGATGTTATTGGTAAATTTGATGAAAGATAAACTGGAAAGTGATTACCATCTACTAAAGTGGCCTACCACATACCCTTTAGCATCTCATGGAGCTGAAAACACAAACTATTCCTAAAATTATTCTTTAGCATTTGATCCCATCCCATTATCTTAATTTTCAGCCAAAGATCTTGCAGAGAAATCAAGTATTTATTTCCAAAGTCAAAGAATACTTAAGGTAGACCTTCAATCTTCTGACTTCAGATCCAGTATTTTAATGTTCAAAAACATAAAAACTCCTAAAGATTCCTATCTTTTTGGCTCTGTTTTGGTCTCTGGGGACCAAATGCACAGATGGGTAGATGAGTTGTAATTTCCAAAAGGGATGATTCTGGAACTCCAGAGAGATGGAGACTAAATGTTCTGCATGTTACCCAAGAAATTGCATGCTCCATTTATTTCCAGAAATAGTTTCAAATACAAATCTTAACAAGTGCTTTATTTTAAAAAGACAGACAAAAAATAGGTGGTGGAAAAAGATGTTTTATCAAATGAATAGAAAATAGAATGGAACTATTGTACCTACGATTTTCTGTTCAATCTCCTACTTTCTAGATATTCTTTATACATAATTTATTTTAGAATTTTATATTTGTAGATGATACTTGCACATTTTAAGAGGTATAACAAAATTTTTCAACACATGTACATAGCTTCAACCTAATATACCAGGTACAAGCCTTTCCATTTCATTTTCATATGTTTTCTTTTTGTTTGAAGCCTAACAGCTTCTCTCTTCCAGGTCTTTAAACAGTATATTACTCGACATTGTGAGCCATAGTCACCCAACTGTGCTGCAAAGCAACAGACCTGTTGTATTCATCCAACTCTAGTTTAGCACTCATTATCCAACCTCTATCTCCTCCTCCCCCCATTCTTTCTAGCTACTAGTGATTACTATTATAATTCAGATTTAGGTATCATAATTATTTTTTAACTTCTACATATGAGAGAGAAACATACGGTATCTGCCTTTCTGTGCCTGCTTATTTCACATAACATAATAATCTCCAATTCCAATCACTGGTTGCATCCTTTTTATGGCAGAATAATATTCCATTATATGTTTATTCCACATTTTCCTTATTCTTTCACTGATGGACCTCTAGGTTGATTCTTTATTTTGGCTATTGTGAATACTGCTTCAATAAACATTTGAGTACAGATATCTTTTCCATATGCTGATTTTATTTCTTTAGGATATTTTTCCAGAAGAGGGATAGCTGGGTCATATGGTAGATATAGTTTTTTTTTTTTTGAGGAACCTCCATAATGGCTGCACTAATTTACATTCCAACCAACAATATGTTTTCCCTGTTCTGTATATTCTTGCCAGCACTTGTTATTTTCTTATTTATTTGTTTATTTGAAACTCAGAATTACACAGAGAGAGAGCTAGAGAGAAATCTTCCTTCTGCTTGTTCACTCCCCAAATGGCCACAATGGCTGGGGCTGAGCCAGGCCAAAGCCAGGAGCCAAGAGCTTCCTCTGGATCTCCCACGTAGGTGCAGGGGCCCAAGGGCTTGAGCCATCTGCTGCTCTTTCCTGGGCACATTAGCAGGGAGCTGGTTTGGAAACAGGGCAGCCCAGTCTTGAACTGGTTTTGAACCAGTGCCCAGATTGGATGCTGGTACCACAGGCGGTGGCTTTACCTGCTATAACCCAATGCTGGCCCCATTTTTTGACTTTTTGATAACAGCTATCCTAACTGGAATGAGATGATACCTCACTGTGGTTTTGATTTGGACTTCACTAATGACTAGAGATATTGATCATATTTTCATATATTTATTGAACATTTACATTTATTCTTCTGTAAAATATCTTCTCAGAACTTTTGCCCATTTTATAATTAGAGGTATTGCTACTTTGTAGCTGAGTTTTCTGAGTTCCTTATATATTTTGGATATTAATCCTTTCCCAGATGAAGTTTCTTAGGCTATAATCATAAGGGCACCAGCAAGAAAGTTATTCTTGTATCACTGTGTCATATGCAAGATACATATTAAAACTCATATGCAGAGTTCCTACTTGGCCTCATTTTGATACGACTCACTCAGAAATGGGCAGGAGCAGGCAGAAAACAACATTGGAAACTGAGTATTATCTCCAAGAGCCGTCGATATATATGAAAGCCCATATTATTTCTCTCTTTAAGGGATTGCTTGGGCCTTGGCAGCTAGATCCTTGCCCCTCATAAGCTTGAATGGCAGGTTTAAGGAAGATCAAATGCTGAGTAAAAGAAGTGATTGAAGTTCAGCCCAAATGTTCAGACAGTCTACATATCCTGGTTGACAGTTTTACAATGAAAATAAGCCCTCCTATACACTTCTTTGAAATTGGTAGTCCTGTTGATCCAAACATGAAGGTGAGAGCAGTTTGATTAGGGTAGTCTTCTTTCAGGTAGCCAGTGGCTGTCTGGTTAAAACTTCCAAGTAGAAGAAGAAAAAAGGAAAGAAAGAAAAGATTGACTAAAAAGTATAGAAAATAGTGGAGATGAAAAACAAGGTACATGAAGAAGAGGAGAGGAGAATAGAAGAAAGGAGAGCAGATAAGAAGGCACTGATGCTATGTGGGATGGTGCAATATAAAACTGATATGTTGGAGTAAAAAGAGCAAAGATTTTTGGATCCCAAATTGTTGGATTTTACTCTGAATTCCAATTTTATTGTCAATGTGATGCTGAACACACTAAACAGACATTTTGTCTCTCAGTTTCCCTGTCAGAGAAGGGAACAGAGCTGGCATCTAGTAAAACTGCGATTCTACTGGGTTAAGGAAGCAAATGATTAGAGACAAAATGTCATATAGTAGGGAATGCTTTTGCCAAGGTATCAGAACACATCTTGATAGCTTCTGAACATCAGCCTGATTTGTAATGAGCATTTTTATCCCACTTCCACATTTATCCTATCTATGAGAAACTCAACAGAGATGAAGAATAGCACAAAAGAAGAAAAAAAGTTAGTACACACTATTATGTCCATGGCATGTAATTCAACAAAAACTCTTTCAAAAGCCCTATCACAGAAAAAAATCTTCGGACTAAGGACAAGGTGGTTTTGGAATGGACTAGATGTCCTTTGTGCTGACTATAGGAAGTCAACTCCAAGGATCAGAGATGTGGCTGCCAGCAGGCAAGTGCCCAAAGGACAACTGCTGAACACCGGGGTTGATCCAAAGAGCTAGAAATTTTTCTCGGGGTGCATAATCCTCACTTACTTTTCTAAGCTTTTTTGGACAAAAAGAAATAAGGCCATTGTTCATTCTCTGAAGTTCTGAAAAGATAAGTTTGCTATTTTTGTGGCCTATATCACAAACCAGCTTCCATTTAACTTCTTTAATTAAAATAGCCTAGTATATTGTACCTTTTTTTTTCTTTCCTGCCAACAATCTGTAATCTTTTTGAGGACAATAACTGTTTTTCTGCCATATAAAGCATATAGTTGAAACACAATGTTTGTTTTATTTATATATGTATTTATTTACCTTTCAACAGATTAAAAAATTATATACACACAAGCCATTTTATTTAGGCACAGGCCAGCACATAATTCACATATTAATATAGATGTATAATTGATCATTCACATAATGAATTAATAACATAGGCATAAACAAGGACTTCTAGAGCCAATGAAAAGGAAGATTTTATACTACAACAACATGAAGTCCTGATAAATAGTGTTTGAACATCTAATAATCATGTTTCTTAAAAAAGACAAAATATCAATTGCTTAATCTTCAGACACACGTTTTGGGACAATGTCTTAATAAGGGAATATTGAGATAATTATTTTATTTCTAAGAAACATTGTTCCAGATCCAACATGGAAAGCAGGATACACAGCAGACTCATAGAATGGGAGATGTCCTAAACAGCACTCTGGCCTCAGAATCAGCCCTTAAGGCATTCTGATATGGCTGAAGAGCCCATGAGAGTATTTTAGGCATGGAAAGCCAAGACACTCTGGAAAAAAAAAAAAAAGACCTAAATGAAAGATGTCTGGAAGAGAGATTCCAGCAGAAAGAATGAGTCATCAAAGAAAGAGGTACCTTTCTCTGAAGGGAGGAGAGAACTTCCACTTTGACTATGACCTTGTCTAAATAAGATCGAAGTCAGCGAACTCAAAAGGCTTCCATAGCCTTGGCAACTCATGACAAGAGCCTAGGGTGATTACGGACACCATAACCAAGAGTGTCAATTGTTAAGTCAACAACAGGAGTCACTGTGCACTTACTCCCCATGTAGGATCTCTGTCCTTAACATGTTGTACAATGTGGATTAATGTTATGACTAGTACTCAAACAGTACTTTACACTTTGTGTTTCTGTGTGGGTGCAAACTGTTGAAATCTTTACTTAATATATACTAAATTGATCTTCTGTATATAAAGATAATTGAAAATGAATCTTGATGTGAATGGAATGGGAGAGGGAGCGGGAGATGGGAGGGTTGCGGGTGGGAGGGAAGTTATGGGAGGGAAAAAGCCGCAGTAATCCAAAAGCTGTACTTTGGAAATTTATATTTATTAAATAAAAGTTAAAAGAAAAAGAAACATTGTTCCAATTATGTTAAAAGGTTCATTTTCTTTGATTTGGGGTTGACATTTTTCTTTTAATTATTATTAGCATTGCACAAACTATGCAACCACTATTTGAGCATCTACTAGAAACATTAAAGCTAAATGTTTTCTTGCAAGCAGGTATGGTACTATTGCTTCACTCTCAATTAAACACAGATTAATAAGAAGAATACTAGTTACAAATCAAAAGCCTTGGGTTGGGATTTCAACTTTGATGTTTTGTCAACATGTGACTTGGCAAGTTGCTAATCTTGTTGATCTTGCCGACCCTACACTTCTAATTTGTAAAATTTTCACAAGAATTTAAACAGATTATGTGTGATGTGGATATTGTCTGTACTGAACATAAAAAGATTCAATAATATCTATAGCAATAGATACCATTTGTTTAATATCTATTAGAATTTAGAAATTGAGCATCCAAAGTTACTAATCCTTATACAATTATGTGATATCTGTTATTATTTTCACTTAATATATGAGAAAAATGAGACTTACATAATTTGTCCAGAATCAGTGATAAAAGAATCAAAATTTCAAACCCATCCTGATTCAAATATTAAATGAGATATATTTCACTGCAATTGAAATGAATCATTCACAGAAACTTGATGTCAATTTGTTTTCATTTGTGTCCTCCCTCTTTTTTTCTCATTTGCAGTTTCAGTATGATATAACATTCTTCACTTTTCTAACTTTGGAGAGGGCCATCTTAGGATAATCTGTGTTACATTGCTTCTTATCTCAGAAGTTTACTTATACTCTTTCCCATCTGAAATACTTAATTTGATGTTCATCTGATCTACTTTATTTTTCCTGGAAATTGGGGGAGGTAAATACAGATACAAGAAATATCTTAGATGACAAAATTTAGGAGGGGCCTGCACTGTGGTGCAATCGGTTAATCCTCCACCTGTAGAGATGGCATCCCATATGGATGCTGCTTTGAGTCCCGGCTGCTCCTCTTCCAAACCAGCTCTCTGCTATGGCCTGGGAAAGTAGTAGGAGATGGCCCAAGTCCTTGGGCCCCTGCACCCACGTGGGAGACCTGGAAGAAGCTCCTGGTTCCTGGCTTCAGATCAGCCTAGTTCTGGCCATTGTAGCCATTTGGGAGTGAACCAGCGGATGGAAGACCTCTCTTTCTTTTTTAATTTTTTTTTAATTTTTAATTTTTTATTTTTGACAGGTAGAGTTATAGACAGTGAGAGAGAGAAACAGAGAGAAAAGGTCTTCCTTCCATTGGTTCACTCCCCAAATGGCTAATACCGCCGGTGCTGCATCGATCCGAAGCCAGGAGCCAGGTGCTTCTTCCTGGTCTCCCATGCAGGGGCCCAAGCACCTGGGTCATCCTCCACTGCCCTCCTGGGACACAGCAGAGAGCTGGATTGGAAGAGGAGCAACCGGGACTAGAACCCTGTGCCCATATGGGATGCTGGCGCCACAGGCAGAGGATTAACCAATTGAACCATGGCGCCGCTCCCTCCCTTCCTCCCTCCCTCCCTTCCCAGACTCATGAGAGAAATTTCCCAGGATTTTTGGGTAGATAATGCATGACATAAATGACAAAAGGCCACAATACCAGATAAGATTACTAGATGGTACAATTAAGGACAAGCACTTCCAAACTGAAAATGAATGACTTATTTGAAAGTTAACTTTCACTATATCTCTTGTCAAGGGATTTGAGTTACTACAGTTTGGAGATATAAATTGAAAAGTAAAAGATTCTGGCTGCTGGCTTCAGATCAGCGCGGTGTACCGGCTGCAGTGCGCCAGCCACAGCGGCCATTGGAGGGTGAACCAGCAGTAAAGGAAGACCTTTCTCTCTGTCTCTCTCACTCACTGTCCACTCTGCCTGTCAAAAAAAAAAAAAAAACTTAAAAAAAACAGTAAAAGATTAAAAAACATTATTTAGAGGCTGGCATAGTGGCAATGGGGGTTAAGCCAACTTCTGTAATACTGGCATAACATACAGGCACCAATTCGAGTCCTGGCTGCTCCACTTCCCATCCAGCTCCCTGCTGATATGCCTGAGAAAGCAGAGGAAGATGGCTCAATTATTTTGGCCCATGCCACACATGTAGGAGACCTAGATGGAATTTTTGGTACTTGGCTTCATCCTGGCCCAACCCCAGCTGTTGTAGCCATCTTGGGAGTGAACCAGTGGATGGAAGCATTCTCTCTCTCTCTCTCTCTCTCTCTCTGTTTCTGTCTGTCTTTCTGTAATTCTCTCTGTAATTCCTTTCAAATAAATAAATCAATTTTTTAAAAATTCTTTAGATGTGAAAGAGTTTTAAACTATATACATGTTCATCAAAATTTTTTACTGAAAAAGAGCCTTTACAATGGAGAAATCAAATAGCCACTAACATCATAAACATGGTAAGCTCGCCGGCGCCATAGCTCACTAGGCTAATCCTCCGCCTGCAGCGCCGGCACCCCAGGTTCTAGTCCTGGTTGGGGCACTGGATTCTGTCCTGGTTGCTCCTCTTCCAGTCCAGCTCTCTGCTGTGGCCTGGGAGTGCAGTGGAGGATGGCCCAGGTCCTTGGGCCCTGCACCCGCATGGGAGACCAGGAAGAAGCACCTGGCTCCTGCCCACTTGGAGGGTGAACCAATGGAAAAAGGAAGACCTTTCTCTCTGTCTCTCTCTCTCTCACTGTCTAACTCTGCCTGTCAAAAAAAATTAATTAATAAATAAATTAATTAAAAAAACCATGATAAGCTAACAGAACATGTGGCCCCTGATATAATACACCCTAAAGGATGCTCTCATTTATATGTTGACTATTTATGAATTAAGTATCAGAAAAAAAAATCTAAATTGAAGGTCATTCTACAGAACAACTGACCTGGATACTACAAAACTAGTAATGCCATGTCACAACCCCCCCCAAAAAAAGAATAATAAAAAATGAGAAGATAAAAATAAAATATACTAAATATTAAAGAAAGATGCAACTAAAATCAGTATACAATTTCAGTAAGAAAGTTCCTCAAAAAATTAAAAGTAGAAATACTATATGATCTAACAATCTCACTTTTGGGTATATAACTAAAGAAAAACAAGTAAAATCATTATGTAAAAAAGATCACCACACTTGCATCTTCTTCACAGCATTATTTGCAGTAGCCAAGATATGAATATAATCTAAGTGTCTGTCGATGGATAAAGAACATATACTCAATGGAATGCTATTCTACCTTGAAACACATGGAAAATCTGTTGCTTGTGACATCATCAATGAATCTAGAAAACATTAAGATAAGAGAAATAAGCCAGACACAAAAGCACAAATACTGCACGATCTATTAATAGCCGACACCATGTTGTACATTAGTTCTCCAAGACTGATTCATCTTATAACTACAAATTTGTATTCTTTGATCAACATTACCCCAATATACCACCTCCCTGGCCCCTGGTAACCCTTCTACTCTGTTTTTGATTCCACATGGAGATATAAGTTGTAATTTTTATAAAAATTGTATATACACATTTATATACTAAAAATATACATTTTTGGAAACAATGAGGGATGAAATAAATCAGACTGCAAAATCAGACTGTCAGTGAAGATAAATGGGTATAAAAACATAGTCTCTTTTATGCTTTTGATCATTATTTTTATACTAATTTTAAATAATGAGACATTTGAAATTGGATCATATGTATAGGTTCAGTTCTTCAGGAAGCAGGTTCTGCAATGGGCCCTAACATGCAGGAAAATTACTAGAGTATGTCATGGGATCCTTATCCTCCGAATGTAGAAGAAAAGAAGTTGTGGGACTGATGACAGTTACAGCCAACCTCACAAAGGACTCTGGGATCTGTCACATGCTGGGTGGAAATAGCAATCTTTAATAAACCTCTTTCAGTCTGGATATTAGCTGTCTTGGAAAAGGCATAACCTTGGAAAGGAACTCTATAGCTGAAGCACCTGCAAAGGCTAATCACTGAAGTCTGCCTTTGGCAGCACTCTCAGTAGTTCAGCAACAAGTCCTTTCTCTTTCTTTCTTCCAAGACTGATTGATTGACTTGAAATTTGAAAGGCAGAATGACACACAAAAGGGAGAAAGAGAGAGAGAGAGAGAGAAGATATCTTCAATTTTCTGGTGTACTCCCCAAAGACTCACAACAGGCAGGGCTGGACAAGGAGAAAGCTAGGTTCCAGGAAGTCCACTTGAGTTTCCCATGTGGCTGGTAGAATCTCAAGTAGTTGGGCCATCATCTGCTGACTCCTAGAAGATTGGCAGAAAGCTATCTGCTTAAATAAATCCTTGAAACATGTTATGGAAGAAAATTTGCAATAGATTTGCCACATTGTCTGTTTTTACAATACTAGCGTTCCATGAAGATAATAAAGTTCTCTGGGATTCTGTGAGTTATATTGGTTCATTTTTTCCTTTTATCCTACTCTGAAATTCTAAGGAAGCTATAGTTACTAAGAAAAAGTATAAATAGCCATAATATTTTTCTCTAGATAGGCCGTTTGATGTGTGGGTTTTTATCCAGAAAGAAAAATCATCCTTTAAAAAAGTGATTCAATCTGTCTTGCATTTTTTTTTTTTTTTTGCTACAATTGAAAAAAAAAAATGGCTAGCTGAAGCTTGGACATAGGCAAAGCCTGTCTTTAATGTTTGATTCAGTGACTACTGACTATTTTTGAGGATCAAGTCCAGAGTTGGGAGTATACTGTCAATGGGCCTTGAAGAGAAAAACTAACCATCCCAAGAGAATAAATAAGGAGATGCCATTAATTGGAGGCTATAAAGCAAAAGCATGTCTAAACTTAAGTTGCTGAATTACATCCCTAGGCAGAAATTGGAATATGTGCTTTTTCAGATGTAACATTTTAATTGGTCTACCTGGTAGAAGGTTAAATAAAATTTACACTAAACCTTATTACCACTCAAGTGTCAAGTACCCTCCCTGCAACCTGACTGTAACTAGCAAATTGAGTGGGTGCACCCAGAATTATCACAGAACTAAAAGTTGTCTTAAGCAACACTTTGCAACACAGGATTTTAAGTGGTCCCATTAGACTGACTACATTCTTGCTATTTTATCCAGTAGTTTTAAGTACAGAGCTGAGTATTTGAAATCCCCTTTCCATATAATAATCCATTTAGAATGCCCTCCTGGAAATTATCTGTGATAGTACATTTCTAATAAAGCTTCACTGTTGAATGAAACCTAATCACCTAGCAAGAAAACAAAATATTACATCTTAGCATGATGTCTGCAAATTTTTATGGCACAAAATGTTTCCAAAATCTAGAGCTTGTCTTCCTCTTCAGCCCTCTCACTCCCTCCACCCCCACATACAAATAAAATTCTGTACAGGATCATCCCATTCATAACGAATAGGTGAATCTTGAATATGGCTATCACAGAATATCTGAAGCCCTTGAAACTACAAAATTATAAAGATGACTTTCAAACTTGCCATGATTATACATCTTGGTTTTCTTCCATGCTATAGTGAATAAACCGACCATGGAGTATGTATTTATCCCAGCAGTTAAGGTACCGTGTTCTACATTAGAGTTTCTGAGTTCAGTTCCCAGTATGGCTCCTAGAGGTAGCAGTGACTGCTGTAGTAATTGGGTTCCTCTCACCCTCATAGGAGACCCGGAATGTATTCCTGGCTCCTGGCTTTGGCCCCTGTCAAGCCTCAGCCATTGTGGGCATATGGGGAATAAAGTGGCAAATGGCAGTTTCTCTCTCTCTCTTTTTCTCTCTCTCTCTCCTTTGCCTCTCCCCCTCTCAAGTAAATGTTTAAAATTTAAAAAATCAGCTATCCACACATTTCCTCTTTATTTCTGCTGGTTGACTGCATAATTTCTGGTAGTTCTAATCACCTATGCCTCTCTACGATCCATAAACAGAAATACCACCACATGTGTCACCATGATAGTTGAATTTCTTCTGTCAACAAATATTTATTGAGCCTTTACTTTATGCCACTGGGAATATCCCAGTGAAAAAGATAATTTCTACTCTTCAGGAACTCCTTGTCTAGTGCAGGAGAGCACTGGTAAATAATCGCCATACCGTGTGGCAAAAGCAAACATGGAGAAAGTGCAGGTGCAACAGAAAGAGGGAACCTAATTTAGTCTTGAAAGGAGGGTCAAAGTCCATAGAGGAGATAATGTCTAAGGTGAAATTGGAAGTGGAGTAGTGAACAGTATAAAGAAAGATAAAGGCAACAAGTGCAATAAACAAGAAGTAAAACCAGATGTGTCAAATTTGTGGCAACTCAAATTGATTTACAGCTTAGTTTTCAAGGTGAAGTGGGAGGAACTGCGAGAAATAAAGCAGAAGAGGTGAGTTTACAGGGGAATGGAAGTCCTCCAAACTTCCTTACAGGCTTTGAACTTTATTTTAAAGGCAATATAGAGCACTGAAAGATTTTAATTAGGGAGTGACAAGATCATCTTGGCATTTTGAAAAAACTATTCTGGCTGAGACATGAAAATAGATTGGATTAAAGTGAGTGGAGGCCAAACGTGTGGTTATAAAAAAGCTACTGCAGTAAGCTAGTAGCTATAGGATGAAGGAAAATAGATGAATTTGAGAAATATTTAGGTGGTTTTATCGACAGATCTTAGTGGTGGTAACTAAACAAAGAGTGGAGAGTCAAAGATGAAGTCACGTTTCTGGTGTAAGTTTGGATGTTTCAGAGAAGCAAACAATGAGGCTAGGGAAGGCTAAGGAAACCATGGAGTACTGGCTTTAAAACAAGATTTGCAGCTCCACTCTCACAAAGAGATTTAGCAACAAGGAAAAACTAGTTATCAGTGGCAGGACTCTGAAGAAATTTTGATCTTGGGAATTTTCCTCTTTTTTTTTTAGAACTGCTTTATTTATTAGAAAAGCAAAATTATAGATATATATATAGAGAGATCTTCAATCTGCTGGTCCACTCCTCAAATGGCCTGAATGGTTTGGGCTGGTGCAAAAACCAGGATTCCAGAACGCCATCTGAATCTCCCATGTTGGTGGCAAGTGCCCAAGTATTTGGGACATTTTCTGCTGATTTAACCAGATGCATTAGCAGGGAGCAAGGTGGGAAATGGAGCAGCCGAGACATGAATTGGCACTCCAATATGGGATGCCAATGTCAGAGCTTAATCCACTATTTGGTAACACCAGCCCCTTTCTTTATAAAGTCAGAGCCAAAGCTATATGCCAAGAAGCAGGGAGGCAAGAAGTATGGAGGTTTGATGAGAGTGGAGAAATTTTGAAAAAGTTGATTATCAGAATTGAAGAACAGTTAGGAGGAATATCCATTTGAGGATAGTGATTATGAAGTCAAGTGGCATTAATGGGAATCAGATGGTATTAATTTTCAAAATTGTGCGATTTTTTTAAAGTAATGGTCAGTCTCCAGGATATAAAACAGGCCAAAAACTCACACTGATCTGAAGTTGAGGATTTTTGAGATGGCCAACCCTCAAAAACTGAACAAGGAATTTGAAGACAAAAATGTTTCAGCTGATAGACTATGGGATTTAGACTAGTTAAAGCAGGAAGTGACAACAGGAGGGAACTGACTGGGCCAGGTCCCTGGACAGGGGTGAGGGGGTGGTGCTAAAAGAATAAGGGATTTGGAGGTCCTAAGAATTTGAGGGGAAAATCTAGTGACAGAGAGAGAGATACAAAGAAAGGATGAGAAAAGATGGATATACGGGGTTAGAGACAGAATTTTTAAATGAATGCTTCAGAACTGAAAGAGTTTAAGGTGCTGGTGAACAAATGATGATATGCTCTAGAAAGTGAGCTAATAAAATAAAGATCCTGAAGTTGAGAAAGTGAAGGTACAAAGACACTGAAATGGATTTGTTGTACTTGTGTACCCAGAAGATATTCATATATTCATAGCTGGGTAAAGAAACAGACTGAACGATGAGAAATAACCAACTAGTTGGATGATGACACAATTTGGAGTGAAGAATGGAATGAGTCTTGGTAAACAGAGATTTTCTGTGCAATGAAAGAGTAATGATCTGAAATAAAAATTGAAAAGTGTGAACTACACTTACAACCCTAATCCTGAGATGTGTCAGGGTCAGGATTAGAAGGCAGATGCCATTTCTTCTGTGAATACATCTTAGTCCCCTTCTCAGGAAGAAGACCACCCTCTGTGGGCATATTAAAAGTTAATCACCATTTTGTATTGAACCTGTTGTAAATATATTTGTGGATAATAAATCCTTTTCTCTTTATCCTTTCAAAACTAGGTAGGTTTCATGGCATGAATATGTGGGACCCTACCCTGCAGCTGCTGCACATCAATCTTGCATGAACACTAACAAAAAAAAGTGCATGTGCCAGCAGAAGGTGAGGACCACACTGAGTTTTCCCATCCAGGGATGGTCACCCTGATGTGTAATCAATCAACAGGAAAGGTGTGCCTTTTGCAAAGATTCTCCAAGAGGTCACTTTCCTAGGTGTGATCAATCTCCCCCATGCTGATCATGTTACAGCGATTACCACTCTACTCTAACAGCTGCTTCTCCAGGGAGAAACAAAACTGTGTCTGTGAATGTTTAGGGTGGTGTGTATTGTCAGGTCAAATTACCTTTTCACATAACTCACTGTAAATCTACCTCATAAGTAAAAAGCAATTGGAGATTTTAGAACACCATCAGAAAGTATTCTATTCAGGGGTGGAATTATGTTGTGCAATTACAAATGAACCATATCCATGACCCTCACTATCAGCAAAAGAGTCAGCATTTCTTAGTTCAGCACAAAAGGGGAAAAAAATCTCCCATGCTTTATGGCCTGAAAAACTCTTGCTGGGCCAAAAGAAATAATGTGCCATCAGCCCTCCACATCTGTGGGTTCCACAACCATGAACTGAAAATTAGTTAGGTCTACAATGGTTGCATGTGTTCTGATCAGATACAGACATTTTTTTCTTATCATTATTACCTGAGCAATATAGTATAACAACTATTTATACAGAATTTATATTGCATTGGGGATTGTGAGTAATCTAGAGATGGTTTAAAGTACACAGGAGAATTGCATAGGTTATATGCAAATACTATGTCATGCTATAGAAGGGACTTGAGTCTGCAGGTTTTGGTATCCTCTGGGTATCCTGAAACCAATTTCCTTCAGATACTAAGAGATAGTTATATTTGTTCTTATGACCTTCGAAGTAGATAGAAATAAATCAAATATTTATTTATTTATTTGAAAGATTTATTTATTTATTTGAAAGGCAGAGTTACAGAGAAAGGCAGAGAGAGATCTTCCATATGCGGTTCACTCCCCAAATTACCTCAAAAGCCAAGGTTGGGCCAGGCTGAAGCCAAGAGTCAAGAACTTCTTCCAGGTCTCCCCTGTAGTTGGCAGGGGCCCAAGTACTTGGGCAATCTTTGCTGCTTTCCCAGGCCATTAGAGGGAGATGGATCGGAAGTGGGAGTAGCGCAGACATGAACCAGTGGTGATACAGGATGTTGGCATTGCAGTTAGCAGCTTAACCCACTATACCACAACATTGGCACCAGAAATCTAATATTTAATGAGCACATAGTTAGCATGTTATGCTAATATACCATGCATATTGTTTTTTATAAGACTCAGTATAAGTACCACCTCCTCTGGGAAGCCTTTCCGGACCACTTCTCAAATCAAGGTGTGATGATTAATTTTATGTGCCAAGATGTCTAGGCCATGGGATGCCAAAATATTTGGCTAAACATTATTCTCCTGTCTTTGAACATGCTTTCCAATGACATTAACATTTGAATGGGTAGACTATGCAGTACAGATTGCCTTCCCCAGAGTGATAGGGCTTCATCCAAAGTGTTGAAAGAACTGAATAAAACAAACAGACTGAGTAAGGAAGAATTTGCTCTCTGCCTTAAAAATCTGCAGTTTGAATTGTTCAAAGTTGGAACACTGGACTTGAACTCAGACTGGAGCTTACACCGTTGACTCTCCTGCTTGCCACCTGCAGATTTTGGGGCTTCACAGCACTCATAATTGCATGAGTCAATTCCCTATTTTACAAATAATATATAGTGTCCTGTTGATTCTACTTCTCTAAAGAACCTTGATTGATAACACAGGTGAGCAAACCATTCTCTGTGCACCTTATCTGCCATGTGCCGCACAGTTACTATCTTTTTTATCTTACTGTGACTCTTTCAGCTTCTAGTCTGCAAGCTACTTGCATGAATCTTAGTAGTTTCAGTATTATGAGTGCCTAGAACAGTAACTAGAACATAAGAGGTGCTCAATGAATGTGATTGACTAAATTAAGTATTTAATACTCATGTTCTTATCCACACAGTTACCATTTTTTCTCAGGAAACTAATGTTCAACATCACCAGGTAATTCAGTCAAACCCAAGCAGAAGTAAAGTTGAAATTTAAACCTAGAATCTCTGACTCCACAATTCTATAGATGTTCCAATATCATACTGCCTTTCTGCTTCTCTTCCCAACCAGAATTGCTGAATAAGTTTAGTTTTCAAATTAATTACATTACAATATTTGAGAGGCAGTCTATGGCATTAAAAATTATGACTCCAAAGACAGACTGAGTTCAAATGTTCTACATTCTGTATTTTTCTACATATTCTACTGAGAAACTCTAAACAAATTACCTAGTCTTTCTGTGCTTCTGCATGTTTCTTGATCTGTAAAACAGGAATAACAAATAATATTACCTATTATTGTCAGTAAGCTATTACCACAAACATACCATTCTCAAATTTAATGGCTTGAAGAACAATCAATCTCACAGATCTGCAAATTGGCTAGAGTTCAGCTGATATATGACAGTCTTGTCTTGATGGAGAGCATGGACTCTGTTTCCAGTTCAGCAGTTAGAGAAGCTCTCTTTATTTCTTTTATTTCTGACTATCACATAAAAATTGTACATATTTATGGGGTACCACATGATATTCCTTTACATTGTATAGAGTGCACATAGCTATTTCCTCAAATATTACACATGTCTTTATGGCAAAAAAAAAACATTCAAATTCCTTGTTGGACATGTTTAAGAGAAATAGACAATATATGATTATTATCCACAGTCATCCTCCTGTGTACTAGGACACCAGAACTTCTTACTGCTATCTAACTATAACTTAGTACCAGATATTCTGGTAACCACCACTGTACTCTCAACTTCTATGATATCAGCTGCTTTATATACCACATATGAGCGAGATCATGTAGCACTAGTCTTTCTGTGCTTAACTTGCTTCACTTAACGTAATGACCTCCAGTTCCATCCATGATGTTGCAAAATGACAAAATTTCATTCTCTCCAATGGCTGAAAAATATTCTGTTGTTTATATGTACCATAATTTCCTTAAAAATTATTCTGCTTCTTTTGGCTATTGTGAACAGAGCTGCAGAAAATGTGGGAGTGCAGATGTCTTTTCAACATATCTACTTCATTCCAGGTGGATATGCACTGTCTGTGGTCAACCAAGGCAGAGCAAATTTCTCTTGTGATAATGGCAGAGATACAAGAAGAGAAACATACAAGGCTTCTTAAGTCTTGTGTTTTGGGCTTGAATGGCAGCCATTCCACCCACATGTAATTGGGCAAAGTAGGTGATATGACCTGGTCAAAGGATGGAGAAATATGCTTCTCCCACAATGAGGCCATGGCAAGTATGTAATGAAGAACCAGACAGGGAGGAGTTAATAATCTGGGCAAAATTTAAGTCTATACTCTATCTCAGAGTGTTGTGATGATGTTATGATTGAATACATGCATCACACAGAGCACAGTCTGGCACACATTAAGAGTTGAAGACATATTCAGAATGTTCTATCTGTGTATTAAAAATGAGGAGGCCTCATTTTAATGGCCTCATGGAATGGTTACTAAGATTGTAAGATTATTACCAATCACAAATTGTCCTTGTGCACTTTTCTTTTTTTAACATACCAGTCAACTTTATAATTTCTTCACTGTATTGCTCAAAGAATCAAATAATATATTGTAGGTGATCATGTCTCAAAAAGAATAAAACATTCTAAGAATGCAAAGTATAATACATGACTAATTTGAGATAACTACTAGGTTTGAATCAGTAAAACTTTCCATTTAAGTGATAGGAAGCCATAGTTCTTATTTTATAGGTGAGGTAAAAGCTTCAAGAAACTAAATTACTTCTTTTCTGGCCATAAATCCAAATATTGGCTGAGGATATAAGGAATTAATGTTTCCTATTGTCTAGATGTTAGCTGGGTCAGAAACTGAACACTGATGCTAACTGTTAAGGTTTATCATCCTTCAGCGTGGGTTGTTCACAAATTCTAGTTTTAGGAGATTAAAGGAATCTCCAGGTTATCACATCATTGTATATGCTCATTCAGCTAACTAACTTGCTAAGTGCTAGAGATACAAAAATGAAACACCCCAGTTTTGTCCTTAGGGCCTTACAGCTGTGGGGTTAGAGATTGTGAGAGCCACTATATATTTCTGAGAATAAGCCAAAATACCACAAAACATGAAACTAATTATCTCAGCTTCATGGGATTCCAGATGTTCACATGTCATGTTTTATCCACTCCTTATCTCCACTGATGAGACATAGGAAAAAGAAAAATGATAGTTATGATAAGAAGCACAGAGTAATTAGGGTGAATTGAAGTTAGCAGGAGCAGGAGTTTCTGAGTGAAGAATGAAGGCCTATCTTGACATAGCATACATCTTTAACTCTCTAAACCCAAGCTAAGAGCTAAGACTCCAGAGTTCTAGAATCACTTTCTCCTTCTGATCTACTATTATAAGACGTAGGTAACTAATTGGTCACACATTTTCTAGGCAATTGTTTTCAGGTAAGCCTTGGAGTCATGGCAGAACTGGCATAAACGGTGGAGACTACAAAGGCAGAGTTGAAGGGACTCCCATCAACAGCCTTGCAGGCAAAGAGGCACAAACCATGGTGTTATAATTCAGTGTAGAAAGTGCTGTGCTGCAGGAATATAGGAAAAGAGTTCTCTAGTCAGAAGATTGATAAAAGACATAGTATGTTTACTGAGATTTAAAGATGAGCAAAATTCTGCCAAGCAGACAAGCAGATCTAAGGCATTTCAAGCAGAAGCAACAGGTGCAAAGGCATAACACATGATAAAAGAGAATTTATTTGGGAAAGTATTTCTATAGTGCATAATGGACAGTATTCAGGTGCAATCTAGATAGCAACTGAAGGCATCTTTCCCCTCTTTCCTTCGAAACTTGAATCTACAGCACTTACTTGGAGTCTAAAACTGGAAAGGGAGGCCTACAAAATATAATGACAATACAATGTAATATACATTGAAATGAAAATATGTTCAAAAGGTGGGTGCATGGAGACAAAAGGCCTTGAAGTATATCTAGAGAATCAGGCAAGCCTTCAGGTATTTGTCATACCCTTGCAGAAAGACTGTACCCTCTCTGGCTGAGAATTGGTGCTGAATTTGGTCCACAGAATAACCTGTAATTCACTACTGCCTTTTTCTCCATGATCTCCCATCAAAATTTTATTAGGTTTCCCTTCATCCTATTAATCCATTCTGTTAAGTAAGTCTGAACTTCATTTGCTATGGACACGTTTCAAGATATTTCATATAGGCTCTCAGGACTTGAAAACCAAGGCATTTGGTTAGGTAACAGGAAGGAAATCACCTTAATCCATCAACTACCACTCATTCATTCAAGAGTTATATATTAATCACACCCTTTTAGTCAGGAACAGCTCTAAGCACTGAGGATACAACAAAAAGCATAACAAACATCTGGACAACTCATTTCTACTCATAATCCTGCTGGAGCTCAGGAAAAAAAAAAGATATAACAGAAACAAGTTGAAGGACAGGAGAAGCTATGAGGAAGTTATGTGATAAAAGTCTGCTTCCTGGATAACAACCACTGAGAACACATTTCTAAGTAACAGTGCCAGATGGGCACTTGCTGCAGTGGTTGAGATGCTGCTCAGGATGCCCACATCCCATTTCACAGGGTCTGGATTCAAGTTCTGGTTCCTCTTCTGATTCAAACTTCTCACTCATGCCTAACCTCTTACCTAACTCTTGTGGGCAATTGGGGAGTGAACCATCAGATGGAAATTTCATTTTGTGTCTCGCTGCCTTTAAAAAGAAAATTAAGTAACAGTGCCAGTGAGACATGATCGTGAGGATCAGTGTAACTGCATTGTTTTTCTCTCCTTATTTTCTCAATTCCAAATGTTTCAATACTTGGTCTGCTTTTCTGTAGTCTCTGTTTATGGAAATAAGATTTTAATTAAGATCTGTGATTACTTCCACATTTTATTGTAAAACTGCATTGTTTAAATTCCTAATCCTCCTGCTTTATCTTGAATACTGGAGTCTGAAGTTTAACTTTGGGTAGCTAATTCTTTACATCTGTTTAGTTCCTGAACTTATCATGCCAATCATTAAAAGAGCTTTAATTGATTGTTGTGAAAGGTGGTTGGAATCTATTCCATTTCCTATGCATACCACCCTTTTCAATTATACCCTGAGTGGACCCACTGATGATTCTATTAAATTTGATCTTTATATACAAATGGAGTCACATCATATGCACACTTAAGTTGCACATAATTAACTTCAGTCCCCTGGAGAAAGAGAGAGATAGGAGTTAAACAGTATAGGTAATCTTACTCACCATTCCACTCAAGGAGCACAAGCCTAAATTAATTGTGAAAACAAGAGTTTTGTTTTTTTCCCCAGCCTCAGGTCTCATGAGCCTTGCAAAAATATGTGATTTTAACATTTAAATATGACATTTTTTCTTATAACATCACTCCCAAATTCAAGCAAACCACTTCACCTGACACCCAACAGCTGAAACTGTGCTCTGTCGCAACGGTGAAGTTGGATATGTTGAAAAACTGTATGTCTATCTCTAAATGACATCTTCCTAATCTATTTCCAAAGAAATTTTGCTTCGTTTGCCTTAGAATCTATCATAAAGATTCTACCTCAGTTTAAAATATTATTTTATTCCAGAGCCAAACTAAGATCTTTGAACCCTATCTCCCTGACCCAGTGTAGCAGATGCTGTCAGTGTCCTCTCATATGGTTCCTTCATTCACCACATCTGTACACACCTTTAAACACCAGCTGTAAGCAACTGCAACTGTATGTGAGGGCTTCTCTGGCCACCAAGGCCTGCTCTACTAGTGCTGGGGTGGGCTAGAAATAGTAGGAAATTAATGACATTTAGAGGCAGTTTACACCAATGACTGACAGGAGATGGAAAATGAGAGACTAGCCCAGAGAAATATTTCAGTGTCTCCAGAGTTGCCCATCTGAACTAGGGTACAGGAGCCCAGAGTGGTAATCTGCATGATTAATCTGCATGATGAAGCCATGTATTGGCTTTCTTTCTTTACCTTTTCCTCTCCTAAGAGTGTTTCCTGGGATCACTCCTGAGAAACTGATTGCCCTTGAATCCTTGTCTCAGGAAGAAGGTTACTTCTGTAGGAACCCAAATTATAACACCAAAAAATCCATGCCCACAGCATGAAACAAAAATTAATCATCTAAACGAACATTGGGTGAAGTGTGTCTAGAGCCTCAGTTATGCCATCCTACTCATGCAGCTTCTGTGAAAAAGACCCTGATTTTACATAATCTTTGATTTATATACACTTTGTAACA